CCTCCTTTTCCATTCTCCTCACCAATGTGGGAATCATCGTCAATTGAGGAAATACATTATAAAAGAGGCAATGCATTTTACACCTTTTATTTCACCTACGATTCTTCCCGAAATGTTATTTACTTAAACGAAGCCATTGCTAATAACTATTTTTTCCACATGGGCTTATATTATACTTATATTCAATTAAAAATTAAGCTCTTATTTGATTTAAGCATATATGGTCCAAATAGAAGTAAAACCCGATTATTCAGGCTTACAACAATCGAAATAGTTAAAGTAGTAATATATATAAACTTAAAAAGTCTTTGGCTTATAAAAATATTTGTTACTCTTATTATCTGAAAATGGATTATAATATTTTATTCAACTTACCACTTTAGCCTGAAGCAAGGAAAACAGCATTCACCTATAGCCAGTAATGTCGTTTATACTTTGAAAAAGACTTAATTGTATTATGCTTTATTTTATTTATTTATTTCTTCAGGGTAAATGTGTTATTGAATTGCATCAGAGCAAAGGAACGAACTATCGCACAATTGCTGCGGCTCAACTTGATCTCCGAATGCTGCTGCAAGACAAATGTATGCAAACAAAATATTAATTTTGCGATAGGCAGCTAGATATAAAACTAATATTCAATTAATGATGGCCTAAAGCCACCTAAAAATTTACCTAATTTCTTATAACCTTTATGTAAAAGTCTATATTTACTTTTTCGACTGTATATTTTTAATTTATCAATAGATTTTCTAAATGGGGTAGTCATTAACGGTGTAAGATATAATCATATTTCCTGTAGAACATTTTTCCTTTCTATTTTGCATAATGCGCTCAGTTGAGTGAGCCAGACTTTAGTGGATTCTTGTAACTTTTTATAGCTGTTTATTGTCGTCGCATATTAAATTGTATAGGCTGTCTTATCTGTTTAGCGAGATCATTCAAGAATATATGACTTAGGATTCTGCAAAGCCGCATAATATAATTTAATACAGTAAAATTGGTTTAAGGTATCACGATTCATCTAAGTTCCACTTTGCCTAGCATCATTAAAAGTCTTAGCATCCGGGTTGAAATACTATTTAGAACTCGCCTGGGTCTGTTCATAACCTTCGACGGGACTCGAAATTTGGTCGTATGCAGCAGGAGGCAACGTTATCACTATACTATTCATCCTGGATGCGGGTAATCACACGGTGTATGTGAATTTCAGGGCAAAATAGGTTTCTTCCAATCCACATTTTAGTGGGACTGTTGCCTATAAGGCAAATTTTTATCTGAATTCACACACTAGACTATGATTACATTCTGCCTGAGTAAATTTTTAAACTATCTTTGAAGATTTATAAGGCCTTGAGTCATCTTATTTCGACTTAGGTGATGGAAGGCACGAAATTTAAGTATTTCACAATGAAAAGGACTGAAATCCTTACATTTGTATTTACTTTTAATTGCTCTTTCCTTGAAAAAGTCTTTTTTTTTTAAACTTTTTTGAAAACACCATTCTTTTGGTAAGCAAATTGTCAAATCCCTCTTTTTGTCGTATTAACAAAGTATTTGGGTGAAAGTAATGCCAGTTTATTTGACTTAAATAGTTAAGGCATCTATTTTCTGCTTTAACATCTCTCTTCAGCAGCCAGTAATAGCACCTCAGCTTCAAACCTTCGTTGTCATGGCCAGGTCGATTTTATTGGACTGGTTGCACCTAGTTTTTCAAACGGAAGCATGTTGAGCGGTAAAGAGGAAGAAGGAACAGCGAATGATTTAGTTGGCCAGTTGGTAGGACGACTCACTTATTGGCTTCGACTCTGCATCCCCATGGAACAGGCAATACGGTACGTTGTATAGGTTTTTCTACTTAATTTGCTGACGATTTAAATAATAGCATCATGGTGGGTCCATTTATTTATGCATATACCTCGAAAAATCATCCATCTAAGAAAGTTCGTTAAGGCTGTGGTGTGGCGTAGCAAGCTCATCACTGCCATCCACATTTTTTATTCAAACGTTGTTCAATTAGGAAGAATTTTTGAAATGTATGTAATTAAGGCATACTGTTTGGTTTATTTTTCGTTTTTACTAACCCTATCTGTAGCTTACGGCTGAGTTGTTATAAAAATATCTACTGATAATTTTAGATTGTTATATTAAATATAGGCTTGCTTTATCTACAATCGTTCTGCTATAAGTTTGCATTTATCGTGAAAGTAGCATCTTCCCCTTGACCTAAAAATATTCCGGACTGTTCGGCTAGATCGTTACGCTGCTGCTTGACTCTCACAACTTGGTTTAGAATCCCGTTTGGGAGGCCAATTTAGCGCAAGCCTTTGGAGAAATATGGCTACATAAAATACACTGACGCTGTTCTCATTAAATTGGAAGACAATACTCAATTCATGAATATTAGTTTCCACGACAGTCTGTCTTCTAATTATGTTTCAAACTATGCTTTAGTAAATCGCCAGCAAACATCAATGAATGAGCTTCGAATTAAAAAAAATACTTTTAAATTACGAAGAAAAACTGGGTTTCGAAGGATTCCTTAATGCAATATTATGACATGACTCTTGATTTCGAAGGGAAAGTTGGTTAGAAGGAATTCATGTGGTCTCACCAGAAACCGAAGGAGAATTGCGCGTAGGGGAGACTGTTGAATTTGGCGAAGTCCTTAGCTCACCGTCCTACAACTCCGATGAAACTGTGCTAAGCTTTCGTCTGTACTCTGACAGACGTCATCAGAACAGGCACCCATGCTTCACGAAATAGAGCAAAAATATACTAAACCAAGAAAAATAAGGTTGCCGGCTGCAACCATAACCGCTTTTTATACGCATAACTTCGCGATCATAATGAAGCATCTTATGATTCGGCTGGCTATCCCAAATTTGCTTCACGTCTTCAGATGAGGGAAGTTACTTCCCGAACCAGATATGCGTTCGTTGAAGCTCTCTCTTTATACAAATAAACTATTGTACACTCCTCAAATGTTGACTCATGTTTGGGCTTGTGCTATTGTCTATTGTGTGCATGTAATACTGATATTATTGGTAGTGTGATAGTCCGAGCTAGACTCGAGGTTAATCCAGCCTCCTTCCCTTGTTCAGTGGCTCCTGCATTCACTCTCTCTCCCTCTTCTTAAGCCTATCACACAGCCACAAATAGTTTCTACTCAGTTTTATATAATCGTTCCTACTATTCACGACGTGGGCTGTTTCATTAATTACTATAGATTTTTGGACCCACATGCAGACAGAAAGCTCAGCAGACGGTGAGCAGGACAGTGAGCCAAGGATTTATTCGCACAACGCGGTACTCCTTTTTCGGTTTCCGGTGGGACCCCATCACGAATTCCTTCCAACCAACTTTCCCTGCCAAATGGATAGTTATTTCACAATAATTTTACATTTTGCACTATTAAAGGTGTAATTATTTTCTCTCGATTTATAATTCTTTTTATTTTGCATTATAGTCTTTACCGAGAACGCTGTAAGGCTCTCGCATATTTAAGTAACAATCGCAAAACCATGGCTAAAGTGGGGTTTGCATCACCCGCTTCAGATATCAGTTCAGTTGAACAGGTAGGTCCGACGACTCTTGCCAATGTGCATCTTCATGTGGACCA